AACTTCGAGAGGACAAACGAAATTATAGTAAGAACTGTAATTCTTACTAGAAGACCGAGGAAATTCAACCGAGGATTCATTGCAATATATTTTATTAATATAATAAACAAGATTATAATCAAGTGACAGTTATTTCCAGGTGATTTTCATTGTATTAGCCCATTTTATTCCCTTTATGTAAACAGAAAAAAAAAAGAAAAAAAGAAGTTTAAAAACCATTCGCTCTTCCAAAGATCACATTCTGTCTCATACTTTCTATTCATGTAAAAGCGAGAGTGAAAAATTGTGTCAGTCTTGGATTAAATGGAAAATTCCCCTCGTAGAAATTTAAACGCAACTTCATGCCGCAACAAATCGATGCAAACAAACAGAATTGACTAATAAACATACTCCGCCTACCCCATAACTCGATCCATATTGATGGCTTAAATTCCCTGATAATTGACAGCCAGCTACAGGTGTGCACATTGTATACAATGAACCATCTGCATTCTACATCTTAATTCACACCATTCATTTTCTGTCTTTCTGCCAAGTGACGAGATCTCGATACAGCTTGCAGGTGCATCAACTATGTAAACACAATCCAAACCCCATTGCTATAAGAGTAAAACACTATAGAATGGATTAAAAGACCCATAGGTTACGTGGGAATTGGTGGTGGCTGGGGTTTCCATCATGTATAAATTAATTTCACCTACCATTTTCTTAGCTGATGATTGAATAGTTCATCAAATATAAAGATTATATCATTGCTTCATTAACAGAGGCTAAAGTGAATATTCTTATATATAATATATATGTATATTTGAAAACTAGTGTCCTATAATCTTCAGTTGCCATGGCTACTGCCATTGGTATTGACGTCAAAAGGTTTCACCTGAGGCACCAAAGGTTAATCAGTACGAAGAGAAGACAAGAACGTAGCAGTGTAAGAGGAATCGAATGTAACACGTGTCAGAACATGCAAATACCTCCTCGCCATTTCGACAAGAAAAAGGAAAAAGTATAAAGAGAAACATCTTCCGGAAATAACTCAAGTCACGGCAGCTATACATGTACATGTAGACCAAGGAGGCCATGAACAAGACCGCTAGCGTGTCTTCTGATTACCAATGGAAAGTCAGAACCCGTACCCTTTATACGACCATCGGGATCGCGCCGAGTGGCGTGGACCTTCCGGGCAGCATAGGGTACAACTACAGCAAAGACAACCCTCGTTTCGTCATCCCATTTCTGCCCTATAAGGCCGCCGTCTGCTGCTGTGTCTTCAACTTTGTGCTTCCAGGTTCAGGTAAGATGCTGAAGATATGAAGTTATAATGTATGAATTATGCTACAATAGTCATGATTGGGTACTCTCTGGTTCATGGGATCATGGTCATGGTGTGATGGATCGTCATGGTACGATGGATCGTCATAGTACGGCAAGACACATGTATTTGATTGCATAGGCGTGGCGTGGTTCGATGTGGATTTTTTTTAACGAGAGAGCAATTTTCTTTTTATTTCACATGGCAGATGCGTAAATGAATAGAAAGAACGTGTCAAAACGAAAAGATACCAATAACATGTATTTTTATTGAGAAAGCAATGTCAGTACAGTTAAGTTAAGCTTTTTATATCAAGCCGTAGTACAGCTTCATTAAAGCACGCTGATAGAATTGAAAGCTGGACGGAGTAATATTACTTTATATGACACGTGTGAGCTCATTATACAGTCACGAAATCAAAAGTGAGGCACATTCTGGATATGTCAGAATATATCGTGTAGGCGATTCGTTTAATGAGTTGATTTATCCCCATTGTTGATAATAACCACCCAGATTTTGAAGAAATACTTTTCTTCTGATTTGTATAGTGTAAACATTTCACGAGTACACGGGAAGCTCCTCAATTTCTCTTCAGTCGGCGAAATATAGATCTTGATCACATAGTATGATTAGTACCAAACGTGATTCAAATTACCCACTTTCATATACTGCAGTATTTTTCTCAGGAAACAGCCCTGATTAGCAAGTAGACGCGAACTACTCATAGCACGTTGCAAAGAGAACCATAAGTAGAATGTGACAGAAAATACTATTTATAGCCTGATTCCGGTCCATTATCACTACCCGTTTTTAATTAGATCAAATTATTGTCGCTTACGCCAAGAGAAAATTATAAATTAAAGTATTCTGCCCATAACCTGATCCCAATATTGCCCTATGGTGCCTTTGCATTTGTTTATGGGTACAGAGTAAAGAAAACTCCCCGTTACCGTCACGTGCTATAGATAAACTCACTATTATTTTGGGTATACTTTTTAGGGTATAGGCATTGGGTCGCAGAAGGCATTGTAAAATGCACAAGCAACTAAATAAATACATGCGTTAACAGTTAGGCGAACAGACAGACAAGTATACATACGTACAACTATGAGATATTTTTCCTGTTAAACTGTTTTCTGACAATTAATTTGAAGCACTGATAATCAAAGAACATGTAAAACAAGGCCAGCGGTCGGTTTCAAGGCATAGCACGGAATTTGCTCTAAACTTTTAGACCTGAAATCTACAGCATTGGTCTGACACATTAGCCACTGTCTCTCCTTCTATAAATTAAACCAATCGCAAAGTTGAATTAATGGGACAGCACCCGTTTTCTCTAGTTTCAAAGCGGACACAGATTATGACCCCAAATTAAGGCAGGTTTTCGGGCTATATACCGATAGCTCTTTTATAAGACAGGAATTGAGCAGAAGACAGGAATGCATTTAACCATAACCTTTGCTGACTTATTTATCCACACAGGTACCATAATTGCTGCTTTTGCTGCCATCTGCTGTGATCGAAAAGAGACCGGAAAGAGCAAGCTCCAGAATTTCTGCAACTTGTGTACTGTAGGCCTCCTGCAGCTCATTTTTGCATTGTGCTTTTGTGTTGGTTGGTTTTGGAGCTGTCTGTGGGGCGTGGCTTACGTTGCAGCCGCCGGTAGGTGTCGCGAGTGTTTTTATACTGGTAGCCGTAATGCTTGGAAAACAAAAAAGCGTTAGATCTTTTAAAGTAAAAATTAATTAATTAACGAAAATTTAAAAGTCGAAAAAGAGTTTGTAGATCTTAACGTCTTTGAAAGAGATGATATACATGCTTTTGGAAAAGATAAACCACAAAAGATAGAGGCATACATGTATGTGAAATAAGAGTAGGCCTATTTGCAGTACGTGCGAAACCAAATCTTGATATTTTGTTTTTCACATCCTTGAAATGCAAAATGATGATTTAATATTTCAGATCACGAGATCAACCGACTGAGACGTTTGGAGGGAGCGTCTCATACTGAACATTTCCAAAGTCCATTTGCGATATCAAGTGCAATTGAATGGCCTAAGCGACCTTTACAGAAGTCACGGACCGTGTCAGATTTCAACATTCAAGGCAAAGTTACCTTTAAGTTGAAGGACATATCAGAGCTTTTTGAACGTGTTTCAGCTTCAGAAACCCCTAGCAACAAAAGTAATGATCTCAATTTAACAGTCACATCATTGCCCGATTCTTTACACTCGAAGGCAAGATTGGATAGCGTTAAAAAAGACATGTCCCCTTGCGCATCGGTATTGACGCCTCCCACAAAAAGTTCACTTGTAAAGAGCCAAAGACCTTTAGGCCCACGTCTGGCCTTTTCGCGCATGCGCAAGACAGGCATTAGCCCCGATTATCTACAGCGGTGGTCCAATGGACCCAGCCTTGACGATTATCTGGAGGCAGGACCCTCAAATCCTCGTGTCTGTGGGAAAACTCCAATACATCAGCTACCACGATGTCTATCTGAAGATAGTAACTCCGAACCGGACTGACCACGTGGTTGAAAATGGACGTTGACAATGTAATGTTACAGCAGACTATGTCATATAGTGTTGAATAGACAGTGCTTTAAGATAACCATTGATATATTGATTTAACTTTGAGTCAAAACACGGTAACTCCACTTCCAAATTACTTTTACTGAATAAATGAAAGATAGATTTTATATTTAAGTTTCCATAACCCAACCACAGCCCAACGGGATGGCGATAAATCTAATTTTCAAAGCCAAATGCTGATTCAACATTCTGTTTAACTGTGCTGATCATGTGTGGGTCGCAAATTGCTTATATATTCAAAATAAATACACGAAGAGAGAGAGAGAGAGAGAGTAAGACTAATTTTTTACAAATATTTTGTATTTAGGGACTTTAATACTAAAGTTATTGAATATGTATTTTTATAAATTAGACAAAATAAGACAAAGTAATATCAAGTAAACTTTTATTGAATTACAACTTATAAAACGAATATACAATATAAAACGAATAATAAATTGCTTGGAGTCAGCAATTCTGGGTTTCGACATTCTTCTTCTAACAAAAATAAGCATTCTTACGATACATCAGTTCTTTCAAAACACTTAGCTGTTAAATAACGTTAACGTTGCTCTTTACGCCTCTTTTCAAGGCGGCTCCTTTAAGTTTACTTTCCTTCTTTTTGGCACAAAGGACAGTTTTGGAAGAAAGATAACTACAACTAGAACAATATGAACAACAACGGCAGCAAAAACTAAGTTAAAAAGGTAACATTTAATAACACCAAAAACCACTTAACAACAAAATTTTTTTAAATACACGCGCGGCTAAAGAACATGGCATTAGCCTTGTTGCTAAACCAATTTTGAGTAAGTAACACAGAGTGAGAGCAATATTTAGCTTTTCGGCCTTCATGAAATTCCACCAAATTCTTTTATCCCTAACTTATTATCTTTATAGTGTTGGCCGAGTCATATATTTCAGTACTCTTGGCAATTAATTATAATTAATAATTAATTAATTGAGATTTACATTTTTATTTTATGGCCAAATACTTTCAATGAACTTTCAATTCCCATTACGGTTTGGCATTAATTAAAAGCGGACTTACCCGGCCAAATATCGGTCAACCAAAATATGGTGATTGTCAAGTTACTTCACTTATGCGCTCATATGAAGGGGATATTTAAAAATTTGGGGTTACAGAGAAATCATAAAGTGAGTGCACGTCGCACACGAGGTCTATGTACAATATTGAACTGAGGGAAAATTCCTTAAATGAACTCTACACTTAGTTTTTGTCTTCAAACGTTATAACTTTTAGAAGAAAAATAAAGTCTGCTTTGGCCCAAGATAAATCTGTAGCATAACGATGAAATTGTGCGCCTGGTTTATAACAAGTGCTAAGTGTTCAGAACTATGGTAACTCTTCTCTCGCGGACTATAACGGATTTACCTTACCCCATGCCACGGTTATTTTTAAAACCATTTATTTCATCTGAAAATATTTTACTGAACAAACTGCTTTTTTTTTCTTTTCTTAAACACAAAGCACATATTTTTCGTCTGGTAGGCCATATACGTATTTCAGCATGACAATTTTATATACATGTAGTCTTGACTGGTTCGTGACCTGCATAATGTCTTTTCGGTCCAGGCTTTTAGCTACCAGTCCAGTTTCATATCCGCCTTGCTCCAAACATATTTCCCACCCCTCTTGTAGAACATTTTCTCATCAAATCCACTCTTGGCCAGCGCACTGTCCACCCCCACGTCCAGCAGGGAGCGAGATGGCGTCTTCCCGCCTCCACGGCAGTCCAGGAAGCGCATCTACAACACAGAGAGACGACAAATTGAATATTACATGGATGTTATGAGTACACAACTAGACCACGAGATCTGTGTATTGTGACGTATAGTCTACACTATTAAAGGTCTGATGAGAAATGACATTAATTTCATTCAAAGTTCTCGCTTACAGTAGAAAATATTGTCCAGAATTAGGCAGAGACATATCTCTGAATATCTAGTGAAAATAATGTATGTGGCATTAATTGGTAGAGGGCGTCTGATATACATGAGTACAAGCACGAAAAAGCCGTGGCACTGGTAGAGGGTATATGTTAAATATAACAGCAAGTAGGCCTACTAGTGGATGTTACATGCACCCGCTGACGAGGGGTCTTTTCAATCCTCTCTGGCTGTTACAAAATTTGGGGAGCGACCTTTTCTGAGACTCTGGGATATTTAAGCCAGAGGTGTCCGGTGGAGAGTGGTGTATCTGACTTATAATATGAAGGATAGCGATAGCGAGTGAAACTTGCATCTACCGGTATGCGCGAGTGCATGATACACCACGTCTTTGTTCTCGTCTACCATAGTGATATATAACCATGAAATGCGAGTGAAATCTGGATGACATATGTACCATTAAAAAAATAATAAATTATCACAGGCCCGTAGCCAGGGGGAGTTCGGGGGGTTCGAAAGAACCCCCCTTTTTGCTGAAAAAAGGTCCACTCTAGGTAAAATTTGACATAAGTACATGGGGATTTTTCGGTAAAAGGTTCACTTTTTCAGAAAAAGAAACCCCCTTTTGAAATCGCTGGTTACGGGCCTGTACCAGATACTAGGTTTTAAACTAGTTGCTTTAAATTATAGTATTAGTTTGACAAAAATGGGTCTAACTAGGTAAAAGAAGCATGATCATCCATATTTAATATTGACGCTGTAGTTTATAGATATGTCTCTCTTTATAACAGTTGCGCAATAGTCACCCATAAATGGTGACTTGTCTTCAAAAGCACATTTAAAGAAGACAAATTACGTCCTGCAAAATTACATTCATTTTAATGAATTAATGTTTCTCTTCTTTACATATTGTTACTGATTCCTTCTTTCACACTTTCCATACTTACGTATTCGTCCAGGATTAGGTATGAGTTTTGCATCTGAAGAAAATGAAAATGTTTTGATTTTTTTAAATAAGTTAAAGACACTCATTTTATAAGAGTGGTTTTCAACCTTGACATCCCTTAAAGTAAAATTTTGGATGATATTAGACATGAAAAATATCGTAACCTATATATGCTCTCAGACTTACTCTTACATATAAAATATTTTAGCCAAGCATATATTTTAAAAAATTTATTAATTTCAGACACAGTTGTGCATCAAATACCTCGTGCCTATATGTTCAATAATCTTCCTAATCAATTGCAAACAATTGCTGTATCGAAATGTGTTTACAGTTTAATATATTTTATGTCATTAACGCATTTTTTGTAATATACAGTTATTTGGATAAGACCCACCCGGCTGTCGTTAGAAAATATCATGTGATGCGTAAAAAAATTCGTACGCATATTGCACATTAAAATCCACAATAAATCCACAAATTGCAATAGTCACGCGTCGGTTCCGATCAGACTATCCAAATGTAAAAACAAAGCTGTCCACATCGAAAAATGAAATTAGGGACTCAACAAGACTTAGCATTTATCATTAACTTAATTAACTAAATTTCTATTAACGCGTAGTACGGCGTTTAATTAAATCATGTCATTTTACCGTTTTGTTGGACTCTGGAACCAGACAGGCGACCTCCTTGTGCCTTGTTAAAAAATCCTCAAATTCTTGGTCGGTTACAAGAAAACCTTCCGCGTTCCTCAGTGCGTCAGGGCCTGCATTTTCACCCTCCATCAGAAGACACTGGAAAATCTGGGGTTTTATGAAAAAGAAAAATAAACTTAATGAAAACGAAAGATTTCATGTCAAAGATATAAATACAGTAAAACGATATTGATCAAAGATATTGATTTCTATTAAATATATACGTTTTTCCTTTCCAACAGAAGAAAGAAAGGCATTGATTTTCTTCATAAATCATTCACATATTACATCGGGGTTGTATCAACTCATGCAAAAATTTTACTCGTTGAAAATATACACGTACTTTTGTTATAAAAATAGAAAAACACTTTTACTCAATGTATAGATGGTTGCGATGAAGAATTTTCATGAATATTAGGTCGGTTCTTATGTTTGTATATATATACATGTGTATTAGAGCAGATATTGCCGATATAACTGGACAGTGTCCCTCACCTTCCACCTGACAGGCTGAAGTTGCTGAATCTGCTCTGTCATGTCTTCGTGCTTGTTGTAAGTATTCACCACAGTGTTGATTTTAAAGGCAACCTGTAATTATGTTGTCTCATTTATGATTAACAAATTCATTAATTAATTGATGTGAGGAAGTACATTTATAAATGCACCTATATCTTTTTTTTTTTTTCTTGTCAAGGGTGTTTCGTCAAATGAATTAATTTCTTTTGCTGCAATTGCATCGTGTCATATACTAGTATGCTCCGGTAATTCATTTATTTATTTATTTTTCCAATATGAATAATGTTTGAAATGTAAGAGCAACATGTATGAATATAGACCCAATACAAGTATTTTTTACCTTATATTGATTACACCAGTCATGCACCTTTAACAGGGATGCCACGTGGTCTTTTTGTCCTTGCTTTCTACCAATCAGATCATTTGTTTCAAAGTCGAAGCTGTCACATGATATTGCCAAGATATCCAGGTATTCCCCTAAAGTGATCATATGCATAGTAGTTTTATATCCCAAAATTGCAATTCTAATTATTTGATATCACCGTAAAAATATGCACGTAACCTTTCCGTAGGTCTAATATTATGATTCTAAGGCTCTTTCCCAATGAAACTGTCGGTCTACGTAAATCGATCCAACCGCTCGGGGACTCTCGCTGATACAAAGTAATGCAATAAGTTTAACAGATTACCACGCCCCCCCCCCCCCCCTTGTTGCCAACGTACTCGGATTAACCCCAAATTCTTTGTATTCAACTCAGTACGCCAGGAGGAGGTGTGTTAATCACTTCATCTCAGCTGGAGTCTCCGTGCAGTTGGATCGATCTATGAAGATCAACAGTTTCGCTGGGAATGAGTCCTTAATATCAGATTACGAAATCTAAAAGTCAATGGAAGCTCGCTGCACTGCATATAGGAGTGCAGGTTTCATTATAAGTATCATTAGTACTAGCCTACATTTCATAAGAGATTTTTAGGTATAATTGGAGTAATTTGGAAATCGCTGAGACAATCGTACTCACACGAATACAGTTTTGATTCACAATAGAAAACAAACACTCATATATGTAGAACATGTTGAGAATAGTTATTGGTTTGACTTGGGTATTTTTATTTATTTATTTATTTATTTATTTTTTTTTTATCTTCTTGTAACGTTAGTAAGTGACAGCATGCAGCGAATAAGAGCGGGGAGTGTTTTGTAATGTTACTTTAGTTGATTGACACGACCTTATTGTACTTAAGCGAAGAATGTAATGTAGACGGAGAGAACGATGTAAGAGGTTGAACGATGAGGAACAAACTGTAGATAGCGTAGTTAGAAAGCGATAATAAAGAATATGGGAAAACACGGAAATTGTCTAGTTATTACCTCGCGCCACCAATAAAACATGCAAAGTCAGTAACGTCGTCACATATGGTGGAGGATGCAAAATATAAACATAGATGTTTGACATCATGAGTCTTGTCGGAAAGAGAGAGAACGTTCACCGGACGAAAATACGCAGGAGAACACAAAGTATCTAGAAAGGAGATTGGAATTGGACAAACATAAAATTGAAGGTAAGACAATTGCTTTAAACGATTATTTTAGAAAATGCTTTTTGCGATATTTAGATGACTTTATGGTAGCCAGCCACAATTTCAAATATTGCCTTAGTGAGGTAAACATAGTTTTACGAAGGCTGAGTAATGCAAACTTAGCATTATCTGAATAGTTTCATTGCGCGAGAAGAGGTCAGGTATTAAGGGTACATAGTTTCAGTAACTGATATTCGCGTTGACAGTGCCAGAATTCCATGCCCATTTGAATGTAATCGAATTTCTAGAAGTAATGATTTATTGGTCATTGAATTTATCCCCTAACAGATTTCTATTAGGCAGAGTAAAGGTAAACACCTCGCGAATGCAGACGCGATTAGCCGCCGCCATTACCATGAGGGAAACGTTGAAGAATAAAACTTAGAAAAACCTAATAACCCCGCACAGTTTTTTAATGATGCATGTTTGAACAGAATACATATGTTAGATCTAGACACAAGTACTTTACTTTAAATTAAAACAGAGTGGCTACAAATTTAAAGGTCTGAAATGCTTTTAACAGTTAGAGAAAGGTGACAAAAATATGACATTGTCAAAACGTCAAGATTGCGAGGCATTTGTTTTAATGAGGAATTGTTTTAAAAACTCCAACGTAAAGATAAGAACCTTGCCTCAATTATCACACACTTGACATCAGACGAACTTCTACGTAGTTGCAAAGGCGCTTGGCTTCTTGCTGTTAGAGATAGGAAATAACGTGATAATTGATGGCAGGATATCACCCCACCCAGGAGGTTCTTTGCAACTTGTTATTTCAGACAAGTCAGAGTACAAAGTTTTGTCTAGTTTACACGACGCGGTACTTTTTGGAAAAGGTCATTTACAGATGTCATTATGTTCTTTCTTGTGTTGAATGTTTGACAAGGAAAGTTCCTCCAAAATAACTCCAGGGCTTCATTGCTAACTTTGCCCATAAACAAAGAGAGTAAAATAAAAAATAGAAAAATGAAGAAAAACGAGAAAATGCGACCGCAGGACAAGCGAATTTGTCCCAGACCACTGATGAATTATTTAAAGTAGAAGCCTTACGAGGTCGCGTCAGATAAAAAGTTGAAGCACAGTATCTTATTTAGTGGAAATGGAATCCCTTTTGGTTAGAATATTAGGGATCCAATTCAAAACTAAATGAGGCGTCATTAAAGGGAATAACATAAGAGTAAAGGAAAAGAAGAAAATATATTAAGTCGTGTGTCAATGAAATAGAACACGCCTGTTTAAAACAGACAGTAAGATGGGAGTAGCAAACGTGACGAAGTTGAATTCTAATTGGATAGAATTAAGAAATTTATAAAGAGACTACCTTAAAGTGATGTCATTAAACTTTTTATGGAAAATATTAAAAGATGCTCTTAAATTTCAATGCCATTGACGTTTGTTTTTAAAAAATGTACACCAAGTCTTTTGTAGGGACAATATTATTAGGAGTTCAACGGCGATATGGTTGTCCCTCATTTTCCCTCAGATTCCGTAAAAGATTCACGTGAGTAAGTCTGGGTATTGATTAAAGAAATAATTTGACTTGGTTGTAGACTTGTTATAAAACAACACGTAAAATTTGTTTGGTGAATATATTTTGTATGTCTTATATTTCCCGATACCTGCTAATTTAGATAAATGTAAACATTATCCATCTTTTGATACGTCTTATGTTTATAAAATAAATTCATTTCCGTTTACATTTTATGCATCTATTGACCTTAAGAATTTTACAGGTTGCGGAATGTTTGAAGAGATGCCAACAGCTGAGATATCTCACTTCACTGTTGAAAATTCGTGACAAGACGGAAAACTGCATTTAGAAATATTTTGCTGTTGACTTGAACAAAAATGTTGCACTAATCAATATTGATAAAATAGTTTTTTTTTTCAGGTTAGCCAGGCAGCGAATGCATTTTTCGTTTTTCGTCTACCCTTGTAATTTTAATATCCATCATAACGAGTTTTTAATTTTCTTTTACAGGATACGACACTTAAATGGCATTCACCTTAATTTCAGGCAATACTAATTATTATTGCACTTTGTTTCCGTTTAGGGCTCCTGGACTTACAGTCAGTAATTTTAGATGATGAATCATAATTCTTTTCATAAGGATACCCATCTGTTTCGCCCACTACCCCCTTGCAATGTCAAACATCGCCGATAGTGCGCATGCACCTTTGAAGGTGACAAGCAAATATTAAGATTATGATTAATCTACGTTATCGGAAGTGCCTTCAATAAAATTATGTTTTCGGGTTGCGAAGGATAAAATTGGAGAATAGTTTGAACTTTCTCGACGAATTGCCTTAAATAAAAGTCCTAATCACTGGCATTTCGACGATCTTCTTAAAATGATCTTGTCAGTTGATAAAGTGGTTATATTGGCAATCAAAAGATCGAGTGGAACAAATGAGTTAATGAGTATAAATGATGCAAGGATAAATGGCCTTATGTGAATATTATTTGATATATTGTGAGGAATAAGATATCAAAGTGGTTATGGATATAACTGAATATGTGGAGTTGAGTTATAAAAGTGTGCGCATGACGTCATATAAATACTAAAATCTGGGACGCCAGATAAATATTAGCATCTGGGAAGCCAGATTGCGTTATTGTTATTTTTATTATAAGCATAAGTATTATTATTAGACATATTATCATATTATTAGCATGGTTCCATATGTGTTTTATTGTTATCATTATTTTTTGGATGAATCATACTATGGCAAGTTAAAATCTTGCCTGTTAAATGTGAATGTATTCAGGTTTGATGATGATTGTTATAATATACGTAGTTAAGTTTTTCTTGACATGCATTTCTGCTTCATTCGTTTTGGATATATTCGTAAACGCTGGACATGGACATTCGTGGATATACAGGAAACTGTGAACATTTATCTACACGTATGCCAACGTGCGCGAATAAGACGTTTATCCATATACAATGAGTGGCAGATGACAATCGCTATGAACTGTCTAGAAGGACGGATTTGACATTATATGCTAACTGAACTTTCCTGCTAAAATTCGAAATGGAGGATGTAACGGACCATACCAAATGGAACTATTCATCTGTAGGAAATGAACTTTAGATTTTATTGATTAACTTTGCGTCAAATGTTATTACATGTGGTTATAAGAAAATGTTAAGTAGTGTGCATTGAATATTAAATACGTGACTTATGAAAAGTATATCTATATTCAGTCTGTCGGTCTTATAATTATTTGTTATTGACATTTAACTATACGATTATTGGTACAGGAACAGTGTACTTAGCTTTTGCAAAGATGAAGACGCGAAACTGATGATATGCATTAAGGATGATTCTTACTTATTTATTTTTCGGTATGTTTTTTGTTCAATCGTGGATTGGGTTTGATATAAAACGATTGTTTCTCTTATAGCCATCAAAAGAGAGCGCTACAGTGTGGACAAATATGAAGATGAACAGGTACTTCATCATGAGCGATGCGCTGGTCGCACCGTTGTGGTGAATGCTGCTCATTAGACAGGGAAGGTACCGCCCGATTGTCTCACTTGTGGCATTCCTACTGAATGACAACCAAGTACAAAGAGAAACCGTATATGAAAATGTGTCAGAGCCATAATAAGAGAGTAACAGATTTAAACATCCGCCCGGAGAAAACAAATAAAAATATCTGTACTCTTGGGCCGCACATTACAACATGTAAATGCACATCCACAAAACATCATATTTTCTAAAAAGTTATCAATCTATCTTCCTGTAAGTTATATTTGGGGTTTCATGTCAACTGCATTTCTATCTTATCGTAGGTTTATAATGCAAAATCTATGTACTTAGTTTTGTTTTGCATAAATTTATGGTAAGAGGAAAATGTAGTGTTTAAGGAAGTTTATTTTAAGGTATATTTAGATTTAAAATATGCCTGGGGACAGGAATATCGTCCCCGGGAGATAATGTAACGTTAGTAAGTGACAGCAAGCAGCGAATAAGACCGGGGAGTGTTTTGTAGTGTTACTTTAGTTGATTGACACGACCTTATTGTACTTAAGCGAAGAATGTAATGTAGACGGAGAGAACGATGTAAGAGGTTGAACGTAGAGGAATAAACTGTAGAAAACGTAGTTAGAAAGCGATAATAAAGAATATGGGAAAACACGGGAATTGTCTAGTTATTACCTCGCGCCACCAATAAGACATGCAAAGTCAGTAACGTCGTCACATACTCCAAAACCTCTACGTGCCGTAGAATTTAACTGGATCCTAAATTAAAATTTGTGTATGTTGTTTGTACATTTCATAAAAGTTCTTTTTTTTCACCTTCAGTGGTCTTAAGTTGTGTGAAGAACATTAAAGTTAATACTGCGTTTATATTGCATTAAAATGAAATTTGTGTCGAAATAATTACTGTATTTTTTATGCATTGGGAAATGACTAAAAATTAAGTTAATCCAAATCATATTATAACAACTTGTCACACTAAGTATATGTAGGTCATCAAAAGATTATCTAAAAGAGATGTCTAGAACTCTTTTATTATCTAAACTAGTCATACTCGTACATGTAGGTCAACAAAAGATTATCGTAATCCCTCGTATGTCAAATAAATATCATCCTCTAACCTCACAGTAAGGTCAAAGAGCTATGTTGCTGTCCGTGTCACATGGAATTGGAATTTTGTGGCCAATTTCAGCTCATTAGCTTTTCTCTCAAATATTTTCTAGAGGATTAGGGATATTGTTTTGAGGTCGTCTCTAAATTCTGGAGTTTAATGTAATTTTAGTGTCATTAAAGGTAGATGTGATATGCATTTATATGTCGTAAAATCAAGCAATTAAGCAGCTATGTCCATTTAAGGTTGAGACAGGGGGTGACAGCAACATGGCTATCTTCTTTAATAACTAAAATATACCATGTTACATATCAATAAAAAGGTTATTTCAACAGTTATTCATTTCATGTCATGTTTTATTGCGCAACGCAAGAGAGAGAGAGAGAGAGAGAGAGAGAGAGAGACTCACCATAATCTTCGAACCATTTCTCCTTTACCAGGCTCCCATTGCTGACGATACTAACACTGGGCAAGCCGAGATCTTGCTTACAATAACGAGTCAGTTCCCCAACATAGCGCCCGCCTTTCTCTAGAAATGGCTCGCCGCCAGAGAAATTAATTTTCTCCATCCCTAAAGAAAAACAAAGAAGTGATGATTTATAAAAATTTTTGTCTTAACCAGAAAATGCATAGAATACTGGGTAAGCTTGACAGTTGGGTCAATGAAGTTATTGAATTTCATCTTTTACCCTCTGATTACAGAGGCCCACTAAAACACTGTACAAAATCACATTTTTGTAACAGACCCTGTGATCAGAGAGTACATGCTTCTCCCTTAAGTGAAAGCCATTATATTAAAGAACAGTTAGTTCGTCCGGACATGTGCTTTCAAGTGCCTTCCCTGACATATACATTCTTGCATGGGTGGTCAGCACACTGTCATGCCTTGGTTAAAATACTTCTTATCAAAACAACACGATCCAAGACCGGGCCCATAGGGACGTGTGATTTGACAGCGCCCCTAGTTAGAAGCTTTGAAGCTTTGAACAGAAGAACAGAAGGTCCAAGGATCACCTGATCCACGGATAAAATATGGCGGACCCTACATTAAAGAAAAGCCGTCTAATCTGCCGGTGGTCTCCCCGCCTCCACACGCGCCATTAGACGGATTTTAATTTAAAAATCACGGCTCCCAGGTTTAATTGCTAGACCACGTGTGGAGGCGGGAAGACCACCAGCGGATTAGTCAGGTCTTCTTTCATGTAGGGTCCGCCATATTTGATATGTGGAGAATGGCCTTTTTAAGTGGGACACTTATATATATATATATGATAAATTGTAATTTCCCGACTGTCTTTATTTCACGTCAAGTGACCTTCATCAGCTGCAGAGTCCTGGTCATAGGTGGATGGGAGAGGGGGTGGTCAGTTCAGTGCTGTGTTAAACGCAATGGTTTTCAAAGATTCAGGTGTTGGGTTCTTTCATCTAAGGTTCCTCGCCTTGTGAGAGTGCGTCTGCTTGTGCAGAGTGCAAATGCACTTATGTGCAAGGGTGTCTCGTCCTAACAAAGGTGCCTTGCCTTTGTATGTGTGTATCTGCTTGGCATAACACAATGAAAAATGTTCAAAAGTGTCGCCCTCTTGACGATTTCAGTAGATTCACAAAAGTGTCTCGCTTTTGTGGCTGAACTATGGAAAAGATACATTCCACTATAATACCAGTGCTCTGTTTTCAATCTAAAAACTAAATAAATAGTTCAACAAGGTATATTGCTTAACCATACATGTTTACATACGCGTAGATTTAAGTACTCTTCAATATTGCCGTCAGGACGGAATTTCAATACAAACCACACACTTGTCAGCGTCAGATACACGGATGCACATTCGACCTCGCATTTTGCACAGATTTGTAGTTAAACCACCGCAACCTCCTAATGTGCCCTACTCTAATAACCTGTTTCATTTCTCTTGTTTGTAAATTGTTGATAGTCATTATTTTAGTGAGATATATCAACCCGAAGGGTTTTGTAAAATCTGTCACAACAGCAAGTGTATAAAAACTAGACGCATGTATCATCCACATATACGTGTAACACCCCATTTCCATAGATTTTTAGATCGATCTATCCCTGTGGGGAGTCTCACTAGATTACTGTCAGCTTGGCCGGCTTAAGCGTCTGTCCCGCCTACTAAACGCTGTTAGGGGGTAATTAACTATGGTGTCCGCTCGGCTGACTGCAATTTAGCGTGAACCCCCAGGGAGTTAAGTCGATCTATAACTTAATCTTTAGATCGATTTAAATCTCTGGGAAAGCACCCTAAGACTACATGTAATTCAAACTGCAATGTATATAATTATATACAATATATATAACTTATATATAAACTTCTTGGTATTTATCATTTAAATTAATAAAAAAGACACCTGTACTTTTTCTTCCATGCATGAAGGTAAATCAAGGCCTTAATTTATTTGCAAATACTGTGCAAGGACCAGTAAAGATTTTAAGTATCAAAATATACATTTACCATGTGACATACCTGACGATAAAATCCAGTCGCCATATATGGTACGTTGCAAATCGCTATGAATGGGCTGGGAAGGGGGTCGAGTGAGTGAAGACCCATGTTAACCCCTTACAGTTAATGGGGTCTATGGTCGAGTGTTAGGCCTACATACGTAGCCCCTCCCAGGGCCACAGATTGGTTTTTCAATAGATATTCACAGCCACATCTCTAGTTAAATTAACGATTATTTTCCGTACTCAGAGAAAATGTCCACATAATAAAAACTGCGGCCCTGGTAGAGGGTACCTCATACACATGAGTATCCTTCTTTGACCTGGCCACATGTGGTCAACTGTCCCTGTCACGACACATACAGTATGGGCACTGGGCCCCGCAACTGCCGAAATTTTCATAAACCTAGGCTGTTCTTTTAAGATATGGCTTAGTTTGAATACTATTTCCTGGCTAACCTGGTGCTCAGACATGTCGAACTCCTTCTTAACAAAATATTTTTAAAGACAATTACAGGNCTATTTTCGTCAGAGGTTACTTGACACGATGGAGATAGGCTACAGTGAAAAGGTTAGTGTCAAGTTAGCTCTGAAGCTCAGGGTGATTACAGGGGGGCGCGTGCCTCTATGATTTGAGTTCAATACCCTGTACTGTATAAGTGAATGCGTGCGTATTTGTAGAGCAATATCGTAGAAGAAAAATTTGAATATTGTGCAGTATACGGAGTTACACTAGATTTGAGGTGTATTGTAGAAACGACTCAACTTTGCGATTACTAATATCCCCGATCTTCCGGAGTGACAGTGACACACATTTAAGCCATGCAAGCTGTCAAAGATCTGTCGTGCATGTAGTGTGCTAACGCGTTTTCGCACGTGTGTGCAAGCCGTGCGATAATAAATGCAGTATCACAATGATCACATTTAACTAATTTTGTTATCTTTCAATCTTTTATTTGAGAAGCCCATCGATAGGAGTCGATGGATTTGCCCCTATGAGTTGCGAGATTAAAAAAAAGAAAAATTGAAATGACAACATTTTTATCACGTACCTGCATCCTTCAAAAGTTTTAGACCCCGCTTCGCCTCCTCTATGGGCAAAACGAAGGACGTCTTTGCGGTGTGAAAACAAAAGCCACACCTGTAGTTACAGCGCCTCGTGAAGTGGTAATTAACACTGATTGGTTTGGGCAGGGATTCATCCCTGCTCGCCGGCCTCTCTGTCCTCCTCTCGCCTTGCACCACCTCCTGCTGAGGACAGGTTTCGGCTTTTTTCGTGCTCTTGTCGCGCACCCATGAAGCCGCCACGTAAATGATTACCACCGTCGCAAGCAAAATCCCTAAAACTTGACCTAACATTCTGGATGCTGAATTTCCTATTGAACGAGGATGAGGGTGATATTGCCTCTGCAGCGGTCCGTAAAACTTGTAGGCCTATGTTTTTTTATCAGCGTCTGCAAAATATAGCTTATCACCACTTTTGAACCTTAAAACAAGTTAACGCTGTAAGTTTAAATTTCTGGTCAGTTTGAACGCTACTCCGAACGGTACACAAACATTTAGAACCACTGAATGACAATTCAAAAGTTTGTTTATATACAGGTGGATGACGTGCATTAAGATATGCGTCGATGCACTAACTGGAAACTCAGATACATGGAAATTCCAATACGAGTGTGCGTGCTTTCGGTTTCGGAACCGCACGCAAGCCTTACATAACAAATTATGATACTAACAATTAACAGTAGCCTACTAAGCCCTCTACTACCACTCCTGCTACTACGGTACATATGATAACAATACTGAAAGCTCTCCGAAGTTTGAGAGTAAAACGTCCATTCAGGACAAGTAAATGGAGTCTTATCTCAAAATAACATTGAACTCGTTATCGATTATTGGAATTCTCCAAATATTTTTTCACAAGCAAACATTGTGATATTTATATGTGAGTTTACGGTCAATTTTAGCCTGGATAGAAAGTCTGCCCTCCATTTAGTTATTATGATTCGGTTTAGCCTGACCTAAGTGGGTCAAAACTTTGGGCGAAGCTTACCTGCACAAATGAATGGGAAGAGAAGTCTCTATCATGGGGGACACTGTGTCACGTTACGCTGGGCCAAGGCCTTCATAAGACGGGGCAAATCTTACTAAAAAAATAAAAGACCGCTAGGTTGGCAAATCTAGCGGTCATTTACAGGGTACATGTATAGTTCTAATGCGGGCACTGAGTCGCTCTGATGATGGCCTTCATCAAGGTTTGCCGTTAACTAAAATGTAGGCCTAATAGTAACCTTCATAATATTTTCCTTGTGTGCAAATTAACTATCTCCGGGCTGAAGTATCCCCATGTACACTAAGCTGATCAATATTTTGCTCTTTCATAGATAATTAGCTAGAACTTTTTCTTCCTACTGTTAGTTTGCAGCAAACACGGCCTACCTGACATGTAGGCTACAATTAGGCCCTGGCCGCTATATTACCTAGGGTCAGTAAAAACTATATATACTCACGTCAGTTTGATGAAGGCCTACGGCCATTTCTTAAAAGCCATGTATTGTAAAAAAAATAATCAAAATGTACAAATATCCATTCGCAATTTTTTTAACCTCTGATTACTAAATATATTTATGCTAACCCTTTATAATTATCCATCAACGTGATCTATTGATTGTATTCTTCTAGTAGGCCACATAGGCTACATGTAGGCTATAGGCCTACATTAATTGCTTCAAATTTTCTCCCATGTTATTCACATCACCAAAAGAACAGATTTTATTATTCTTATCATAACCAGTAAGAGTTCCATCAGGCTGTGCATTATTATCTTCACCGACATCCAAAATAAACAAACAACGTTATCGACTTCATGAAACTGAGTTATTATATTGCTTCCATGTAATCGACCTATTCGGCGTAAGCGGTACAGTTCTTGGTAAGGCATGCGCGCGCATAACGAGACAAAAGCGGCGTTAGAATCTCTTTTGCAATAAAATCATCAATTCACGGATCAAAGTTAATAATACTTTATTCACATCTCCCTGATTATGCAAGTCGAAAATCATGGAAATGACTATAATGACTCCGTTTCACAGTCGCATTCATAAGCCCCTCTCACAGGGTGCTACCCGTTTAATATTAGGGACGTTTCACGTATTTCAGGAAATAAAGTGTCTTTCACGGGTTACGAAAATGCCCAATAGAACCCTCTAAGAAGTCCAATAAATGGGTTAAACAACTCCACATAATAAAGTTATTTTTGCGATGCTGATGTCCTAATGCTCCAATACGCATCAACGTCGATTT